TGTGTGTGTCAACCCCTGGACCAAGGGTTCACCGCTACTGACTTTCTCCTTTTTTCCCCCCGTTTTCCACCCTGAAAGAAATTTCCACCAGCAGGGGGCGACAGAGTCGCTGCATGGCTGTCGCCAACGAAGCTCCATGCAGTTGACTAGGATATCACGGCTGATCACCGTGACGTACCTGCCACAGCAACCTTTGACCACGCTGTCTAATCTGCCTGGTTTGTTTCCATGGTCCTTCATGCTACCACCCCGAAACAGGTTTCCCTCCGCAGATCTGCAGCAGCTTAGCCGCCGCTTTGAGTGCCACTGACAACACTTTTCTTTCTTTCTTTCAAATGGACGCTTCGATTGGACGGACCGGCAGGATTGAATTCGGTTGTAGGCCTCTAAGAGCGCCAAGATCAGTTCTGAGATTCACAAGGATCGTCACCCCAAACACAGTCAATTAAACAATGGGCAATCGCCTCATACTTGCATCTCTTGAAAAGAGAGTGAGGGATGTCACGTTGAGTCAAGTCATTGAGCGACATGGCAAGGTGCACCGTGAGCAAGCAATGGAGCCCACATGTATCATGGTACAAGTCAACGTGGCCAACTTGAGGCATCGACAACAGCATTTGTGTATGGTGCAAGAATCTCAGAGAAGGTCGATGCTCAAACAAACATGGCACATGATACCGCCACGCACAGGCACCAAGCACAACATGCATTGTACCATGGCATTGGCCTTTGCAACTAGGTGATGTTGGCTCGCTACAAGGTTATCACGGCCCCAAGGGAGCTGCAAGGTGCGATTGGCACAACACACCTCGCCATAAAAATCAACAGGCCCAATCATCCAACAAGGATCAAGCAAAGTACCAACAACGGCAACAATCCACCCTTCATGCAAAAGCCGCATGCATAAGGTCTGTGTGTCATGGTCAGCCAAGTCCACATCAAGTGCAAATATGTACAAGTCAGCCTGCTTGTCAGCCGCTGCTCGTTGCAGGGAATTTGCAAGCTCAGTGGTGGCGCCGGCCACGGCATAAGGCATCAGAACAGTGTGGCCTTTTTTTAGGGGAGAAGGTTGAAGATTGGCGAACGAATCCAAACGCGCACAGTCAAGCAGCAACCATTTCGAGTTAGCCAATCTTCTCGCCCGAATACCAAGCTCAGGCCTGACGAGTTCGGCAAGCTCCCCAGGGTGAAAGATCCAAGCAACAACAACAGACGCACGCGTCAAAGCGTGCTCAACCTCAACATCATTAGCATGATCGGCAGCAGCCGTTATGACATGGGCCAAGCCAAGCGCAAGTTGGGGTGCATGCTTCACAAAAGGCCAGCAAATGTTAAGAAGTTCATGCACACAAAAACCGAGATCGGTGCAACTTTGAGCATCAACGTGCATTATCCAATTCAGCAATGAACTTGCAAGGGCAAGGTCACTAGGCAACGCTGCTTCATCCTGTGGAGGGTCTGGAGAGGGCTTCAATGTCGCCCACCAAGGCAAAGGCCCAAAGCTTTGGACAAGGGGTTTGAACGCGGTGCGCGACGGCTGGCGTTCCAACTCAGGAAACTCAAGATCAGACTGTTCCAGGATTGCAAGGCATTCCTTCTTCTGCTTCAGGTGGCGCTGAAGACGGGTGGAATCCTGACAATTCAGCAAGCAAGCTTGACACACGCTACCTCGCGCATAGCGATACTCTCTCGCGTTAGTACCATGATGCCGATAATTATGAACAGCGATCCCTTTCGCTGTTTGCATGCACTTACCACAAGTGGCACAGGAAAAGGTTGCCTCTTCATCCGGGAGATTGGCCGAGCAATCGCCAACATACACCCCGACGTCCGACATGAGGTCGCAAAACCGCACGCTAAACTCTTTCCCTACGCACTCACGCGTTTGGTGCAACTTAGCGACTGTCTGCACACGCTTAAGCAAATTTTTCCACCATCCAGAGTCATGGAGAATACGTGTATCCAGCAACGCAGTAGGCACACCATGCTCAAGACCAATGGGCTCCATGTAATCAATCCATTGCAACGACTCATGCAAGTGCTTTAGCCAAGATTGCTCTTTCCGTAGAAGGGCCCACAAGGACCTGGGACCACATCGCAAGAGGCGGCCGTAATATCTGGCTCTTTCCACATAAAGGATGTGATCCGGACGGAGAAAAAGCAGCTTGTTGCACACCTCGTCATCCGTCGTGTTTTTCGTATGTCTCCGGAACAGGGCGCAAAAAAGGCGGCGGTAGAGGGACATAACGCATGTGCGATAACGAGCAGCCTCACTGGCCCGACTGAAAACCCAAGTGGCAGCATGATGCAAGAAAGATCGCAAAACTTGAGAACAAAACACCTGCTTTTTAGTTTTCAGAGGGAGAGCAGGATTGCGAAACACATCCTTGCAAAGCTGTCTGAAAGATTCATGGGCTATGGCGTTTCTCTTTCGCAGCTCAGGGGTCATGTCGCCATCCCACTTCAACAGTGTGCCAAGGTGCACATATCTATCGGTCACTCGCAATGTTTGGTCTGGCTCACCGGACACAAGGATTTCACAGCCTTGGTCGATAAGGACCTTGCGGCGGACAGCCCTAGAATTGCGGCCATACAAGCAAAACACGCACTCACTTTTACCCTGCTTCATGTTCATTTGAATGCCAATGTTTTGTAGTCTGCGGCGGCAACGATCAGCCACGACCGGCACAAGTTCAGCAAGCTGTTCAGGGCATGGATGGGTGATCAACAAAGCAATGTCATCAACCCAAGTCGGAATAGGCATTTCACATTCTGCGTCGCCATCATTCAACAAACAAGCGGCGGCACCAAGGTCACGCAAATCCTGATGCAAGCGATCCAGAAAAAACGAAAAACCCACTTGGAAACACAAGTCCGCAAGAGGGCCACCAGGAGAAGCCCCCGAGGTGGTATGGATCACTTTAGGGCTTCCACGAACTCGAAACCAAGTAGTGCTCATGGCATCACGCAATCTCTGAACAACATGAGGGGGCAAACCAGTAACCTCCTTGCGACGCAGGGAGCAGATCAGTTCCAACATGTCTGCCTGCCGCTGAGGGTCATCTGTCATGGCCTGAACAAAAGTGCAGGCTGCAGACGTCGACTCGCCCAAAATGACTTGCCGAAACACCGCGTAAAACGCATCTTGTCCGTCAACAAATAAGATAGCAGCAGGGAACTTTGCGCGCTTGGCGTATCTAATGAAGGAAGCAACCAAATGGTGGGGCATTTCTGTGGAAATCCCGGGCCGAGCGCCACATTGCATGTCTTGAGCGCGCCAATGCTCACGAATCTCAGCTCGGAGCAATTTCTGGTAAATCTTAGCGGCAGTATCATAAAGCATGATATTTCGCCAAGACTTGGGGTGGGTCAAATCAGCTCCATGCTTAGGTGTAGGCACCACTTCACCGCCCAGCCACTGCAGTGGGGGCTCGTGTCGAAGCCATGTCTTCAAAAGAACCGGCATCAGAACAGCTGTCGCAGCGCGTGGAGCAACTTTATACAACTCACCGGGGATGCCATCCATGCCGACAGCCTTGTGAGACTGCAGCTCTCTACAAGCTGACTCAACACGATACCATGTGGGAACACTATGCAAATCCGAACAGCCTTGCAACAAGCCAACATCAGAAGCATGAGCATGAGCAAGGGTCAACGCTTCTCCAGTCACTTCCAAACCACGTTCAACACACGCGTAGTGCCCAGCAAGAACATCAACAGCTTCAGCACGGCACCTGACGGATGTACCATCTGGCCGCTTAAGTGCTTGCATGGCATTAGGCCTGCGCGCTTTGCGACTTCCCGTCATTTGCCGCAAACAAGCATGGAAAGCCCGAGGACCAAGTGTAAACTGGTTAGCAACAAGTTGCAACACAAAGTCAGCCTTGTCTGCCACAAGTGCCTTTTTGAGGTCTTTGGTCGTACTGTGAATTCTGTAAGAGGCGACAGCAATAGCCTTATTCATGCGCTTGATGAAGGACGGCAAGCTTTCACGACGCACGACATGTTGACCATGGGTCCACTCACGCCAACGCACAAAAACAGAAGCCAATCGAGTAACGTGTACAGCTTTGTGGAAACAATGAATGTCTCGGCGGGCAGCGCGACGTTTTTGGATAAGCTGCCAAGTTTCATGGCCAATGCATGACTTCCTTGGTCGACGCTGTGGCCGCGGGAATTCCTCTTTCAATCGCTGCAAAATGAAGCCTGACACCCGTGACCAATGATCGGTGCTATCAGTAGCCCAGGGGATGGCAGGCACAGAATCAAGTATTTGCTCACACTTTACGCGCCCTTCCTTTGTCAACATCTGGCCAACATCCAAACCGGGATCCAACTTCCGACAAGAGCTCACAGTACACTCATGCTCACCCAGGGTCGTAAAGGTCAAGGGCACATGGTCAGTGATGCTCATGCAGTTTTCAAACATGTCAAGAGTTTCAGTGGTGCTGTCCGGCCCACTCCAGTTATGGGGCAACATGATGTAATCCAAACACGCTTGCGCGTTGTTAGGCCCCTTCCAAGTGATGATCGGCTGACCACTCTGATCAAAAGAGGCCGACAACACTGCCTTCTTTGACTTGACCACACCAGCCAACCTCAGTGCGTTTGGATCAGCGGGGTGAGTCAAATCGTGATGAGAGCGACGATTGAAAAAGCGACCGTTAGCATCAAACAAGCCAACAACAGGAGTATCAGAATGTATCTCAGCAAGCGCTTCCTCAAGTTGGTCCCACCACGCATTGCACGCTTCATCCGTGTGATCACTGTTGCTCAACGCATGCCCAACGACAAACGCAACAGTAACGGTGTCTGCCTTTACCGTAGTGAGTAACAAGCGTGGGGTCGCAACATGGATGCAAACAGAAGTGAAATCCCAGGAAACGTTGCGTTCCTCATCTCGAAAAAAAAGGGATCCGTTTACTGAGCCACAGTTCACATCCTCCAACACGCCTGTCATCAGCAGCAGAAACAACGCGCATGTACGCACCAACGCTCGAGAGGCCAGTGTGCTTTCCACGAGCCTCTTGGATGCCAACAACAGCACAGCCCGACTTGTGAAACTGCTCAGCTGTTAAACAAATCTTGCCTTCTTCCCTCAGGGTCATTGCGTTGTAAGTCGCACACTTCCCGACAACGCGAAAAGACCGCATGGCGCTTGCATCAGCAAAGCCTGTGGGAGCAAGATGCCGCGGCACAGACAAACTTGAGAGTTGTCGGGGTTCAACAAGAAAACAAGATCGCGAATCATGCTTAATCACGGGGGGGTACATTGGCAAATCACCATCTCTCAACGAGGAAACCCACATCCAGTGCCAACTATCCTCAGGGAAAACGAAAGAGTCAAGCAAAGAGGGGTCATGCTGCCACGCAATCAGGTTCGAGTCAGGACGTACAGCGTTCGCCAACACATCAGCACATTCGTTCCAAGCATGCGAATTATGCGCGCGAACATGAGTCAAGCACAATGAGCGGCGATTGTGAGCATGCAAAACAAGCGAGCGCACAAAGCCAGCCAGCGGATTGTCAGCAGCAGCACTGGCCAGGCCAGCTGCTGAGAAACCGGCGGTTTCGGAGTCAAAGGAAATCTCAACAGCAACACCAGTCGGGAGACTACAAGCCAAGAGAGCCGCGAAAAAAAGGGCCATGTGCTCTGCAATGGCTGCGCTGAGTTTAGGCTTGGGCCAAGGAAAGCGCTGGTCAAGGCTCACGTTCCCACTAGCAACTCCAAGGCGCACAAGCTTGGGTTCATGGCTAGTCAAGCGACCGGGCAATGCTTGCACCTCACCAAGTGCGACAAGAGCCCAAGTGGCGCTTTCAGCCCCGTCCTTTTGCCGTTTGAATGACCCATCAGTAAACATGTGCACCTTTGCAATATCCTCACATGTCCAAAGTGGAGTGACTTCAAGGGCCGCGACAGTAGCAGCGTGCCAAATCACATGGTCAGGAAGCGACTGGCTCAACATGTCAACAGTGAACGCCCTCTCAACGGCATGTCCCATCTGAGGCTGAAAAGGAATATCAACAAGTCTGTTCTGGTGTTCCCAAGACACAAAATTGAAGGAATCTTCAATAAAACAAGCAACGTTGGCATTGCAAATCTCAGAATCTTTAAACAAAAATGGAGGGAAAAAATCCTTGGCCAGTGGCTGTACAGTGTGGCTGGAACCCCTCAGTTCATCTACTGGCGCACGGTTCCGGTAGCTCTGGGAGCTCAAATCATCTTCGTCATGACCAGGAATCAGGTGATCAAGGGCCAAGATTACCGGCTTGCCCCGGCTCTGCTCTGCAAGACCCATAGCAGCGCAAGCATCATTCAAACTGTTGAGGGCATCAGATACCACAACGGGTTCAACCGGCACTGCGCAGCTGTCCATGGCAGCAACGGCATCTGAAACTACAACCCAACTAGTATCACTACAGGGGGCCTGGGGCTGGCCAACATTTGCTATGCTCACATAGCTTTCGCCGACCCTAGGTCGGGATTCAGTACTTTCTTGTATGTTTTGTTTTTGGCCCATTGGCTCTTTTGTCCCTTTCTTACCCACGCCATCTTGGGGGCAGTGGGATTTTCCAGTCAAGACATCTAAGCCTAAACGGATCCTTTCACAAGAGCAGAGCACACGGTCAACGTGCACTGCGAAGGAAAGGTCGACTGCTGTTTGGCCGGCTTGAAACACACTCAGGAATGTGGGATCACCGACGATGGTATGACAAAATTGATGAACCCAAGCTTCACAAGTGGTAAGACCGTGCTGTAAGATCCTATCTTTACAAGAAAACTTCACAGGCACTAAACAATCAAGGCAATTGCCAAACCCTGTAGCAATTGGCAAGTTAGGCTGGAAGAATCTTAATTCAAGATGGTGTGAAAAATCTACCCTTCGATTGCGTCTAGGCCCGTCACTGGCATGCTCATGTTGTGCAACTTCACCAGCAGGAGCATGGGAACCACAGCTTAGGCCTATCCAAAAACTGCCTTGGACTCGTTGTTTTGAGTCTTTTGGCGCTTCTGCATCGGTGCTTCTTTGAGTAACTCCATGCAATCCATCAAAGCCTTCTGCATTGTGCCAACTGTCACATCCAAATCCTGGTAGGCAATTTCTGGTCTCTTGACGCTCTTTGTCCTTGGCGTATCTGCTGCTTCTTCTTCGTCCGCATCTTCTTCCATCTCTGCCTTCATATCTTCGTATGCCTGAAGCGCTGCAGGGGACAATTCGCTGGGCACACCCCCGCGGTCGGACTCCATCAGCTCTTCGATAGCCTGTCTGGCTTGGTGTATCTCGGCAAGGCAGCTCATCTCGGCTTCCGCAAGCTGCTGCATGGTGGACTTGAAGATGGCTATATTCTCTTTGAAACGCTCGGTGGACTTTTCGAGGTAGTCTTTCCAAGCCTCCATGTGCTGAGCCCTGCCCTCCTGGACCTGAGCCAACCTCTTCCGAGCCCCACCAAGAGCTGATGCCGACTTGTGGAGCTCTTTGGTGGTGAGCTTGTGCTTTTGTTTGTCGTACTTGGCCACAATCTCTCGCACAGCTACCGGAGCTTGACCAAAATCTGGGCAAGTCTTCAAAGCATCGATCAGCGTTTTGAAGTCGCTGGCTTGTTGGGAAGAAGCGGGAGCTGTCGCTGGGGCCGAAGCTTGAGCATGGCCATAGGCAGGAGGCCAAGCATGCGGTGGCGGCACAAAGTCTGCCTGACTGTATGCCGGGGGAGGCGCGACTTGGCTTTCTAAGCTTGTTGGCCCTTTCCCTGCATCTTTGGCTTTTCCTTTTGCCATGCCTTTTGCATGGTTCTTTCCCTTGCGCTCCCTCCCACGAGGTGTGGGAGTACGGCGCGGCGACCTGGGTCGCGGCCACTGGTTCCATGGCTGCCATGATGCCTCCACTCCATAAGATGATCCACGATGCCACGAAGTAGGATGGTCCCATCCAACTCCACACTGATTGCAAAAATTGGCTGATTGCTTGTTCCATTGCCGACAGCCGCTGCATTGCCACGACATTGGTAGGGTGTACCTTGGTCGTGTATGATGGGATTCCAAATAGTCAGCAGTCTGCCTTAATGTTGGCAATGGCACTTCAAGGCCAAGATGTCGGGCTGCAATTATCTGTGCACGCCCAATGGATCTTCGTCGTCGGAGGTTCCGATGCCAGGTTGGTTCACGCCACAAACTCGTGATTGGATACAAGGGCACAAGTGAAAGAGTAACGAGGTATACGAAGAAACCTCTAAGGCTTCTTTTGAACCGAAACCTTCACTGACAACACGTTTAAACCATACTGTTTCAGCTGACTCTTTCACCTTGCGGTTCTTCGCCATCCTTCCCATCGTGGGAATCGAGATAACTGAATACAATTGTCGAAGTGTG